TGGGTCGAGGCTGGGGCGGCGGTGGTCAGAGGCGATCCGGGGCGGGTGCAGGGGATTTTCCTGGGTGTAGGGGGGGCGCGTCTGGGAGCCCCTGGTGTGTGTATCCGCGCGTCCACGTGGAGGGATGTGCGCGTGTGACACATGCGTGTGCACGGCCTTGCGTGTAGCTCTGTCCGGGTGGCCCAACGTATGGCGCCCAGGTGTTCAAGTGTGTGTGTTTGGGGGTGGGGAGGGGCGGGAGGGAGACACAGATACGTATCCAGATGTCTGAGCACCTGTGTGTGTGTGTGTGTGTGTGTGTACACATTTGTAGACGCGTGTGTACACCTGTCTCTAGGGGGGACGTGCCCTTGCTTGCATACCTGCGGGTCTGTGGGTACCTGTGTCCACCTGTGTCCAAGCCTGGTGTGTTTCTCTGTGTGCTTGTGTGTACGTGGATCAGTATGTGTGTGAGTCCATGTAGGGCTGGGTATTTACGGGGTTGCACACTGGAGGAGCAGAGACTTACCCTGGAACCCGCCCCACGGGCCCAGCCACCTGTGGTGGGGTCGATGGGGGAGGTAGGGGTGGGAAAATCCTCACCCAAGCAGCAATGAGGGACTGGGGGTGGGGTAGAGGGATTAGAGAGGTCCAGCTGGCCAGCCCCGCGAGCTCAGCAGGGCTGCACTGTCCCACTGTAGGGTCAGAGTTTCTTGGCAATGACCTTGAATCATTCCGTATTTCCCTGCCCTGCTCTTCCAGAAAAGAGGAAGAACCAGGCGTGATGAGGTGGCACTGAGCTCCCCAGGCGCCTGTGGGCTGTGGGGGCCTGAACCAGGCGTGTCCCTCTTCCCCAGCCTGTGGCCACTTGCTCTGTGCCCATGCTGGTCCTCAGTTTCCTTTGGGAACAATGGTAGGGCTAGGCTCCCCGATTTTGTCACTGATGTTTAATGGCTTTGACTCAGCTAAGGAACGCCCCTCGGTAAAGACCACCTTCCCAGAGGGGCCTGAAGAACCAGTGTTTATAACTCCCCCACCCCCATGCCTCTGGCTGTTGCCTCTGCCCGGCCTGGCTGGCAGTGGTAGTGATGGCCCCCGAGCCCCAGCCTGGCTTGCATCTGCCATCCAGCTGATCTCTGCCCCCTCTCCAGGTGAACCCTGGCTTTCTCCAGGCCTGGCACTCCGGCCCATCTCAGTCAGGATGCCCACAGTGAGTACCCCCAACCTGGATGCCTGTATCCCTGGCCCTTGCTCAGCTCAGTCCACGTCCACAGGCCCTCAACTCCATGGGCAGGGAGGGTGTACTCTGACCCACGCCCCCTTTAGCTGATGTCTTCCGGCTTTTCTGTCATTTGGTGTTGCATTTCCTTCACCTTTTCTTCCTGACCTGTCCTGGGTGCCGTCTGTTTGTGACTAATATATCTCTGCTGGCTGCTCCCCTGTCTTATCTCCTCTTCTCCCTCTCTCTCCGGTCTCAACCCAATCTTCCTCTCCCTGGGGCATCTCCTTCATGTCACCTTGGCCCTCTTCCCTGTGCCTCCCACCCAGAGGCGCTGGGCCCCAGGCACCCAATGCATCACCAAGTGTGAGCACACGCGCCCGAAGCCCGGAGAGCTGGCCTTCCACAAGGGCGACATGGTCACCATCCTGGAGGCTTGTGAGGTGAGCCGTGGCCAGAGGGCCTGGAGATGGGACTCAGCCAGGAACGCCCCCATACTCCTCCCTTCCCCCCATACCGACCCCTGTCTCCCTCCCTGGCAGAGCAAGAGCTGGTACCGAGCCAAGCACCACGCCAGCGGGCAGGAGGGGCTGCTGGCGGCCGGTGCGCTGCGGGAGCGTGAGGCCCTCTCAGCGGATCCCAAGCTCAGCCTCATGCCGTGAGTGGTGGGGTTGGCCCAGAGATGAGGGATCCGAGGGCCCGGCCCGCCCGGCCCAACCCGCCCTCCGGCCACTGCAGGTGGTTCCACGGGAAGATCTCGGGCCAGGAGGCGGTGCAGCTGCTGCAGCCGCCCGAGGATGGGCTGTTCTTGGTGCGGGAGTCGGTGCGGCATCCCGGGGACTACGTGCTGTGCGTGAGCTTCCACCGCGACGTCATCCACTACCGCGTTCTGCACCGTGATGGCCACCTGACCATCGACGAGACCATCTGCTTTTGCAACCTCATGGATATGGTAGAGGTGCAGCTCCGACAGGAGTCGCGTGTTCCCCAGGCCCTGCCCCATCCCAGCAGCTGGATGGACATGGGGACCCCCAGAGCCACATGCTCCCCAATGCAAGAAAGAGCTGGTCCTCATGGACCACCAGCCATATAGGTGGTCTGAGCTCTCTGGGTTCCACTTCCAGGGACTGGATGGCTCCTCCGGGGACCTCCAGGAACCGCCACGTTGACACCAATGCCATCCTCCCCTTCCCCCCTAGCTTGCATCTTTCCTATTCCCATGGAAACCAGCCCAACACATCATGTGGGAACCAAACCCTTCTCCTCATCGGCTCAGGCCCACCCTACCCAGAGCCCACCCCCAGGAAGGGAACAGGATGAGGGATGCCCCTTGGCACATGCTGGTCCCTGGGGTTGGACTCACAACCACCTCTGCCCCACCCCACCCTGCAGCATTACAGCAAGGACAAGGGGGCCATCTGCACGAAACTCGTGAAACCCAAGAGGAAGCAGGGGGCTAAATCGGCGGAGGAAGAGCTGGCCAAGGGTAGGGGCCTGCACCCTCTCTGCCCATGTTCGCCCTGCCCATGTTGTGAATGGGTTTCCACATCTGCTGCTTCTCCCACGTCCCCATCATCTGCCCTGTCACTTGAGCCAGAAACCTGGCCCAAACCTCAACCCACCTACCCTCCCACATTCCCCTCATGCCCCCTCCTGGCCTCTCAGAACCTCCCATCAGACCACCTCCTTCCAGGGGGGCAGTCCCCCTTCCTCCTGACCCCTGCCCCTCTGGTCCCAAAGGCAACTTTCTACCTGCAAGCCCACCCACATCGCTCCCCTGCTTAAAGGCGGGAGGCCCTGCAGCTCCACCGCCTTCCTGAACCTCCCCTGTGGCTGAGCCTTCTTCCCTACTTCATCTACAGGGCTCCTCCTCCATTCCCAAGTCCTCTTGGTTGTGACTCATTTCCTCTCCTGCCTCCGTGCTGTTGTGCATTCTGTTCCCTTCAGCTGAAATGCTTTTCCAGCTTCTGTGTAGTGAAATCATCCATACCCAAGTCCCAAAGCGAAGGCCCCAGCTGTAGCCACCCCTAGTCTTTTGAACCTCATCATCATGGCCGTCTCCTTGGAAGCATGTATTTCTCCTGGGGAAATCTTGGGGACGGCCCGCGGGTGGAGGGTGGTGTCGCCACGCCTGATCGTGCCTAAGGGCTCCTGATTTGGGTGGGGAGGAGGCCTGCATTAGAGAACACTGGCCTGAGACAAGAGGTCAGGGAGGCCAGAGCACAGATTATGACTTAGAGCACAGGAATCTAAGATTCCAGAAGCTTTACTGTTCTCCGTGTCTATTGCATTTTTACTGTGTGTGTGTCCCTGGGAGGCCAGAGGTTAGGAACCATAAAGGGACCAGCCCTTGTGGTATTTAAAGGGACACAGTCTCCAGGTAGGAGAGACGGGCAGCCCTGAAGGGTAGGCTCTGTTGCCTTTGACCACAGAACTGGTATCAGGAGTGGGGTGTGTCAGCCATGCCCTTTGGACCATTACTGGGAATAGCAGCCACCCAGTTGTGTGCCTACAGCTGGGTGCTGTGGGGGACACCATCTGGTCTCCCCAGGTGGCGCCCCCGAGGGGAGGGGCTGGGGAAGCCTGTTGCCTTTCTGACAGAGTCTTGGCCCCACAGCTGGCTGGTTACTGGACCTGCAGTATTTGACGTTGGGAGCACAAATCGGAGAGGGGGAGTTTGGAGGTGAGCAGGGCGTGGCCTGGCGAGCTGAAGGAAGGTGGGGGTTCACGTTTTGGAGTCACAGACATGAATTCACATCCAGATTTGATACCTACTTGCTGGGCAGCTGAAGACAAACCACTCCTCTCAGTCTCTTTCCTCCTCTGTGAAAGGGGCTGACAACCGCTGTTGGGAAGTAAATGCTCAGGCAGACACCCAGTGAGTGCGAGTCCCTCACACCTCCAGCCTCGGGCACATGCTGGTCCTGTGCTTGGAATGCCATTCCCTGAAATGATTATTCCGGAAGGTTCTAGGGCAGTGATGGCGAACCTATGACACGCATGTCAGAGGTGACACGTGAACTCATTTTTTGGTTGATTTTTCTTCGTTAAATGGCATTTAAATATATAAAATAAATATCAAAAATATGTCTTTGTTTTACTATGGTTCAAATATCAAAAAAATTTCTATATGTGACACGGCACCAGAGTTTAGTTATGGTTTTTCAAAATGCTGACACGCCGAGCTCAAAAGGTTCGCCATCACTGTTCTAGGGCTTAGGTCAGGGACCTATGGACTTTCTCTGTAAAGGGCCGAAGTGCAAATATTTTTGGCTTTACAGGCCAGTCTGTCACATCTGCTCAGCTCTGCATTTGTAGCAGCCGCCCCAGATGATAGGTAAACCAACAGGAGTGGCTGTGTGCCAGTAAAACTTTATTTGTAGACACTGAATTTTTCCCCCTATAATTTTCATGTGTCATGGAATACCATTTTTAAATTTTTTTGAACTATTTGAGAATATAAAAAACAAACAAACAAGAATCTAAAAAGCATTCTGAGCTCACGGTCCTTGCAAAAACACACGATGGGACTGGATTTGGCCCTCGGGACAGAGTTTGCCGACCCCTAGATCCTCTTTGATCGGGGTTTAGGGGTTCGGAGCTGGTACGGCCGAGGGGGTTTCCAGGCCTGGGGCCTGAGCTGTGTTGGTGGACATGGGGGTCAGTGTGAGTGGGTGTGTCCCTTTGTCCGTCTCCATCCCACCCCCAGCCGTCCTGCAGGGCGAGTACCTGGGCCAGAAGGTGGCCGTGAAGAACATCAAGTGCGATGTGACGGCCCAGGCCTTCCTGGATGAGACAGCAGTCATGACGTGAGTCCCCGGTGGGGGTTAGGCACCCTGGGGTGGGGGTTCCAGCCGCGCCTTCACCCCCTCTTCTGCCTCCCCACAGGAAGATGCAGCATAAGAACCTGGTGCGTCTGCTGGGCGTGATCCTGCACCAGGGACTCTACATCGTCATGGAGCACGTGAGCAAGGTACGGTGGGGCCGAGATGCAGGTGGGACTTGGAGAGGCAGCCAAGAAGCCTCGAACCCGAGCCCCGTGTCTCCCTCCCCTCCCCCCCCAGGGCAACCTGGTGAACTTTCTACGAACTCGGGGCCGGGCCCTTGTGAACACCCCCCAGCTCCTGCAGTTTTCCCTGTGAGTGGGGCCCCGGTGGGTGGGAAAGGGGCTTTCCAAGGCCAAGGAGAAATGCAGGAAGGTGCCTGGCCTTGGGGGGGGTGACCACCCACTGGAGCCCCTGTGCCCCCCTCTCCCCAGGCACGTGGCCGAGGGCATGGAGTACCTGGAGAGCAAGAAGCTGGTGCATCGAGACCTTGCTGCCCGCAACATCCTCATCTCTGAGGACCTGGTGGCCAAGGTCAGCGACTTTGGCCTGGTCAAGGCTGAGAGGAAGGGGCTGGACTCCAGCCGACTGCCCGTCAAGTGGACAGCGCCTGAGGCACTCAAACATGGGGTGAGCGCCCCCCTGTCCCCAGGGACCTTGGAGCCCCAGCTCCACAGTGTGTCTTGGCCTCTGAACCTCCAAGGCAAATGACTCTGCCTCCCCAGTGAGTATGTGGCCCATCGTTGTTCTTTTTAGTTTCCATCGGGTCTCTCCTGTGTGTGATGCTGTCTGGGCCTGTTTCCCCATTTCTGGGCTCAGTGCTGAGGGCACAAAGAACCAGCCCCATCCCTGCACCACATCTGAGCTGCCCTTGGTCAAAGGGGCAAGGACTCAGGGAATGGAGTCTGTTAGGAAGAGACCAGAGAGTGCAGGTCAACCCAGGGGGACTTCCTGGAAGAATCGGGGACTGGAGCGGAAACCTTGAAGGGTCCCTCCTCATCCTGGTCTTGGACCCCACAGAAATTCTCCAGCAAGTCCGATGTCTGGAGTTTCGGGGTGCTGCTATGGGAGGTCTTCTCATATGGCCGGGCTCCATACCCCAAGATGGTGAGCATGGCCTGGGTGGGGGAGGCACTGGGTTCCATGTGGGTCTGGGGCCACAGCCCTGAACCCCAGCCCACACTGCTGTGCCCTCTGCCCACAGTCGCTGAAGGAGGTGACAGAGGCTGTGGAGAAGGGGTACCGCATGGAGCCCCCTGAGGGCTGCCCAGGCCCTGTCCACACCCTCATGAACAGCTGCTGGGAGGCGGAGCCTACCCGCCGGCCAACCTTCCGAAAACTGGCCGAGAAGCTGGCCCGGGAGCTGCGCAGCGCGGGCGCCACTGGCCATGTTGAAGGACAGGACGCTGATGGCTCCACCTTGCCCCGCAGCCAAGAGCCTTGACCCTGCCTGGTGGGGCCATGGCCCCAGAGGACAGAGAGCGGGGGGCTCAGGGTGGGGACACCGGCCGGGCCTCAGGAGGCTTGGGCCAGCAAGCCGCCCACCTGGCTCACAGCACAGAAGCAGGCCCTTTTGGGGGGCTTGGGGCAGCCCCTGGATACCACAGACCCAGGAGAAGGATTGGTGCCTCGATAAAGACTGGTTCCAAGAACTGTGGGCCTCTGAGTCTCTCTCTGCGACCCCCAACGTCTTCTCGGCCCAGGGGGTCCACACTACCCCCCATCACTCAGCTCAGGACAGTCCACCTGCCAGTCGTCTGCCCACTGAGGGGTCTGCCCAGCTATGACCCACTGGCAGCCACGTGGGGACACAGACCCCTGGGACGGAGCCAGGAGACTCCAGGCCAGAGGTCACAGCCTCCCCGTGGACCCACTTGCCATCACCCACAGGTCCCCACTACGGTCCATCTGTGGGTGCCGTATTCAGCCCTCAGGGTCTCGGGCGCCAAGGATCATGGGAGACTTGCCCCCGGAGCAGGTGTATAGGAGCCACTGCAGCTGTGTCCCCCAGGGATGCTCCGGTGTGACCGCCCACTTCCTCCAGCTGTCACAGCCCAACAGTCTGACCCAGTGACCTGGAGCCTCAAGAAAACCCAGCCAGGCAGCCTGTCCAGAGGCCCTCCCCCTCCTGTCCTCTCTGGTGACGGGGGCTGGGCCCTGGGCTTGCGCCCCAGGTTCATATCTTGATATGCCCCTTAGCTGTGTGGCCCCAGCAGGCCAACTGGGGGGGGGTCCCCTACCTGGGCCCCACCTATGATCAGGCATGGGCGGGGGGGCAGGTGTTATAAGGACCCAGAGTGGGGAGAAAGTGAGGGCTGAGTGCACACAGCTGGTGCTCAGTTATTGCTGTGACTGTCACCTACCCCATTCAGACAGCCTCTAGGACGCCTGGCAGGGTCTGGGGACAGGCTGGATGCTGTCCCACCCCAGGACCCCCAAACTGGAGAGGAAACACTAGACCCAGTATGCCCTCTCACCTATGCTGACCACCCCACCTGAGCCAGGAAAGGGCCCAAAGTTACACTGATCTCCTGAGGTGCCCCCTGAAGCCCAGCCCACCTTCTGGCCTCAGTTTCCCCACCAGCACCTGAAAGGGTTCAGTGATTCTTCCTGAGGGAGAAATAAAGGGTGGGAGGCTGGAGAGGCAGAGAGAGGCCTTTGGGTCACACACACACACACCCTCCCCCTAATCCAGCTGGAGGGGCTGCTAGTCCCTGGCCCTGCCCCACCCTGCCCTAATCTTGCCCTCACGCTGACACAGAATCTGCACCTTCAGCCACATCCTGCTAAGTCAAGGAAGTACCTTGACCAGGAACCCCTCTGCAGCCTCTTAACCAACGGGGCCAACGGGGCCAAGTAGCTAACTGGGGCCTGAGAACCGAGCAGCTTGTTAACGTTTTAAAGTGATGAAGCCATTAGGGCAGTGGTTCTCAACCTTGGCTGCACATTAGAATTGCCTGGGAATCTTTTTAAAATCCCGATTTCCGGGCCTCATCCTCCGGGAATTCCGTTTCTTCTCCGGAAATTCTGTTTCTTTGTTATGGGGTGAGGCCATAACATTAGTGACAAAGAAACAGAATTTCTGGAGGAGGAGGCCCGGAAATCAAGATTCTAAAAAGATTCCCAGGTGATTCTAATGTGCAGCCAAGGTTGAGAACCACTGCATAAGAGGATTACCTGCGGCCCCACAGACCGGCTCCCCGGCCGTCGAGCCCAGAGCCTGACTCCTAGTTGGCCGGCTGAGTCCTGGAAGGGCCCGAGAACAGGAGCTGCACCCCTCCACCCCCCAGCCCCTGGCAGCCTGGGCTCAGGACCTCTGGGGCCTCTTTGGCCTCCTGACCTCGGCCCTCGCATGGGACACGGAGCCCCAGCCGGCTCCTCCTCTAAGGCCACTGGTCCCTCCAGTGGGACCTGATTCCTCGGGGGACATCACCCCTTTTCTGGGGAGGGGGGAGTGCCTGACACTGTCTCTTTCTCCATGTGTGTCTCTCCCTACAAAGCCAACGTTCCAGAAAGATCTCTGCTTTCTCTTGTATTCGCTCCCCAGGCCATCTGAGGGCCTGGGCCTCCACTAAATCCAGCGACCGATTTTCAGGCCTCACCTTGGCCCCCCATCCCCAGATGCACCCTTGCCTGAGCCCCCAGGCTTCTTGGATTGGGAGGGCTGGCAACCAGTCTCAGGGTCGTCCCCTGGACCCTGCTCCAGCTCTCGGGCCACCAGTTCTGTGACAACCCATCCTCCCATCTCCAAAGCAGGGACTCGTCCAAAATACTGTCTGACTGTGTCCCTTCCCTGCTCCACAACCTGCCATGGCTCCCTGGCACCCTCCCCTTCACACCCATCTTGTCCAGAATTGCAGCCTTGCCCTCATCCCCCATTCTGATCACTTTCCTTAAAGAGCAACCCCTTGTAGCCCCCTCCCTGTCCGCTGGAGTTTTCTCTCTAGACCGCTAGCCACCTGACACTATATTTTACGTTATACCCGCGGGTCATCTCCCAACTAGGATGTCAGCTCAAGATCTGTGTCTGTTTTGTTCACTGGTATACAATTAAGTGCTCAATAGATGTTTATTCAAACCTCAAACCCAGCTAAAGGGCCCCTAGGCCATGCCCTGCTCAGGGTCCAAGGAGCCACCTAAAGTTGCCTTCACCTTTTGGGACCTCTGCTTCCCCAGCTCGGTTGACATGTGAGTCTAAGGGCTCTTTTCTGCCCCCCCCCCTGGTAAAACCAGGAACAGCAGACACTCACTGTGGGCGCCCTTTCCTTTAATCACCTCACTGAGTCCCAGTGAGAGCCCAGGGGTGGGTAGGTCCTGATGTCCATGTTTTACAGCCAGGAAAACGGACCCAGAGGTTGGGAGGCCCTTGCTGCTGTCCTATTGCAAGGGGAGGAGGACCCAGGTCCACAGTGTCCCCTCAACACCAGCCCCTCCCCAGTCCTCCGCCTGCCTGGCCCTCCTCCCTCAGCGGCTCAGGGCAGCCAGATGGAAGGGGCCACCTCAATTAATCACCTTGTGCTAATCCTCCCCCACCCCCAGCGCTGGCTGGGGCCGGCCACTGGGCCTGTGGATACCTGGGCTGAAGCGGGGCTGCTAGGGGTGGTGCGTGCTGAGCAGGTGAGCAAGGCCGGCGTGGGGGGAGCTGGGGGTGCAGGGAGCCCACCAGGCAGGGGACTTGGGGGTGAGGAAGCACTAGGAGCAGTGTCCCAGCCGGCTTTCCTGCGGGTCTAGACACAGAGGGAGACAAACAGAAAGATGAAGACAGAGCGAGAGGAAGTC